CATACTCCCACGGCATCCCTGTGGCACTTCCCACCCAGGGCCTTTCTGGGATGAAGTCTTTCAAGATGGTTTCCCAGTCTGGGGAAAACACGTGTTTCTGATCAATCTGATGAAATCCGTTTCCACGCGGAAGGAACCTCTATACTTTCTCCTGTCTTCATGCTCCGCATTGCCTCCATCACTTATGATGTCGAGCCCCGGACCCTTGAAAGGGCCGCACAGGCCAGACTGATTAAAGGGCGCCTTCTTGCAGGTTCCACACGTCAGACTTGCTTCTCTGCTCTTCACCAGCTTGAAGGAAGAAAGGTTTTTGTTGCGTAGGAGCCCATCCAGATAGATGATGTGCGCTGGGGGCTGTTCCACCCCACGCGTCAGCGCCAGGCTCCCTCGCAAGGGAGATGCAGATGTGGAGCGAGCACAGCTGGCTTCCTGTCAATTCAAGAGGCTTCCTCTCTTTTCGGCCCTTAAGAACAGAGAATTCAATGTGAGCTGGAATCCCAGAGAAGTTGACATATCCTTTCTTGAGGCTGTTTTTCAACCGTCAGCTTTCACTCAGTGGCATAGTTGCTGCTCAGTAAATTCGAAGTCTGAATCCTTACACTGGACACCCCGTTGTTGTTTTAATGGCTTTATCTTCCTGCGTTATTGATGAAACTCAGATTCTGGGCACATTTTTTTCAGGATAATACACATACAAAAGAGGTCTGTCACAGCAAGATCTGTAACATCAAATGAGATCTCTGTTACTAGATTCAGCATTGGCAAAGGTAGGATTTGTATTGGCTCATTAGAACCCAATAACATTGTACGGTGAAGGATGCTAAAGGTAAGCTAGAAATAGATTCCTGTGTGCGATGTTTGTAGGTGACTGCAATGTTGTACTCAAAGAACGTTAGATTTATGGGCTAGTAAGATATAGTCACTCCATGTTTTCTTGGGCCTGTTACATGAACCGAGGTCTGAAGGAAGGGATACAAAATCATGTGTGTTCATGATCACCATCACAGCTCAGTGGCAATGGTAGACCCTAACCAACCGCATTATTTCTTTGGTTTCTATGGCTTAAGATCAGTCTGGTTTCTCATGGACACAGCTCCATTATCCATTAGCAGATATAACTAAGTGTGGAGAGGGGTAGGCTGGCACAGTCCAGCCAGCAAGAGGTTCAGGCTGTCTTTATGTGTTTCTGCACCACCTGTGAGGGGGCAGTGGCTTAGCTGACTCACCCTCCCCTCTCCATTCCTAGTCCCATGCTCAGACCATCCTCTCCCTGGGGGATGCCTACAGTATGTCCAAAGGATTCCAAAAATGCAATGCTTCTGGGGACCCGACCAGTGACAGTAAACTTGAGAAGGTGCAGGGGATTCATAACAGGCACTGGGCTCCCTATAAAATGTCTGACACTTGATTCTTCCTCACAAAGATGGAGAAAACTGGGGTCCTTTTATGTATTCTCTTATCTTACAAATAGTGAATTCGGCGAGTACCTCTTACCTTCATGACAACCCACGAAATAAAAGATTCCACTCAAAGTTCAGAAATTCCTGAAGACTGTTTCTGAGCAGCAGTCTGAGACTCTGAACGGTATGCTGTGCAAAAGTTCAGATCAACAACAGAACAGCTAGCTTGCTTTGTGGTGAGCCAAATGCCATTTTTCACTAACGATACCCAGATATACTCAGATGAAAAATAAGGCAAATATGGTGACTTCAGGTAACATTTTCCTTTACGGGGCTGGGGGGTGGGAGATGAGAGGAGCAGAATAAAAGTTTACAAGGCCCTTTTCCGTTAGAAGAGAGTCCCTTGGTTATCTCTTAAGTCTTCAGCTTTGAGGAACTTGAAGTCTCACAAAAAACACAAGACAGATGTTGGAGTTCAAGATCTACCTTTGGATATTAGAAAGTTATCTGTTCATTCACTAAATAATCAACATAGTTTATTGAGCTCCTCCCCTTCTTGACTGAGCACCTTAGTTTATAATGAAGATTGGAGCTAGCCCCTGCCTTTAGGCCAGTGGTTCCCAACCTTTTTTGGCCATGCCCCACCTAAGCATCTCTAAAATCCTGACACTCCCCCCCCGCCGCCCCACCCCGCCCAGTAACATAGAATTCTTATTATTCAAAAAGTGAACTCCTATTCACCTGGAGGAAGCCTAAAAGGCCATTAACTTGGTCTAAACAAGCTTCCAAAGAACATGGCATCCATGAAAGAGAAAAATAAAAAAACAACAGGAAAGTTGAAGGACTGAGGAAGAAACCACTAAGAAATTGTTAAAATAATCATATGAAGTGACATGAAAAAATAGAAAATAAAGTTTCAAAACATAAAAGAGAGAACTGAAATGCATAAATAGGTCACAATATATATCTATATGCTATATATGAGGCCCCAAGAACCATAAGAAGTGCAAAAAATTCACTGTGAATAACTCATTCTTGAATTGCCCCCCTTAAAAATCAAATTGCCCCCCTGTGGGTTGTGTGCCCCAGGTTGGGAACCACTGCTTTAGGCCATGTGGGAGGCAGACTCACAGGTTCAAATAGGCCCTGGGGTGTGCTCAGCTTGCTGAGCACAAAGGGGGCACCTCTGGGGAAGGGGAGGGGGATTCTGGAATTCTTTGCGTGCAGCAAGTGTTCATGTGGGGAACGATTGAGAAAGGGCCTCTGTGTTCAGAGTAGATTTTTGGCTTGACCTTCCCTTGCAACTCCTGTGACCTGCTGAGACCCTGTCACTTCCATTCCACTCTGTATCCTTTGCCCTGTACCAGACAGAGGGCCTCCTATTGACTTGGCTTATTGTCCTTCCATCACCACTGGCCATGCAGGACAATTAAACTGGCTCTGTGAAGTACTGGATGTATCACCAGTCCTTCATTTCATTTTGGAATCGTGGGGACAAGGACATAGAATTTCTGTGACTCTACCGCCTCTTCCGGTCCCACCCTCCCCTTCCTTCTGGCCCCTGACTTCTCCTTCCACTGTTCTCAGAGGAGGTCCCTTCTACTGCTTCCGCCTACACCATGGTCCCTCTTCCTCTCAGGGACACTTCTTCTCCCAGTGCTGTCTGCTCCCTCCGCCTGGCCTCCAGCATCAAGAACAGGATGAAGAAACCCCCCACCCCACCTCTGCTCCTTCATCTCTAGGGTGGTAAATGCTAGTCCTTTGGGGCCATCAACTTGGCATTTCTAAATGAAAGGGAGAGGAGAAGGGGGAGGGGGAAGATTCCACAATAAAATTATCTTCATTTAAGATTCAGGCCACAACTGCACAGAACATCTGTTTTGAAGTCTGGTGTTATCTGTAACCAAGAGGCGAGCAGGGTAAGATCAGGGGAGGGCCTTGGCCTTCCAGAGGCAAAAACACCTGCATCTTGGGGAGGGGCCAGGATCCCGTTTCCAGGGGTGCAGCGAAGCACCTTGCTAGCAGCCTGGTTTCCTGCCTCTGCCCAGTTATTTAAGACCATCGGTCCTCCTGCCATCTACGCTAATGCCATCATCCCTCTCACTCCCCCAGAGGCCAATTTAGGACAACTTACATTGGAATCCAAATTACACAATCCCCAAAGGCTCATGGGGCAGCATGCATTCTGCATGATCCCTGCCCAAGAGGGAGCAACATTCCTGGGAAATCTGCTCAGGCCCTCGCAGGAGAGCAAGCTGATGCTGGGTGTGGGGGAGCCTTGGAACCCAGTGGCCTTGCCTGGCAGCTCCCCGCCTCTTTGTGTGCGATTAGGGTACGTGATGTCTAAACTGGTGGATTCTAAAATGTCTCCTGGCCTGGTTATGGGGCCAATCCATCCCACATTGTTGGGGCTGCAGATGCAGCTGAATGGCTCATAATTACAGTCTAAGGAAACTGCAGACAGCGAGAGAGCCAACCCAGACCCCTATTCTCCTGCCAGCCCACGCCAAGCTGTCTTCCACAGGGAATGACAGTGGTTATCCTGTCATGTGCTCGCCCAGCGACAGCACATGCAGTGCCCAGAGGATGGTTATATTTCTAGAAGTCGAGTCTGATCCTTGGCCTGTTCCTGTGCACATTGCATCCCTTCTTCGTGTCTCAACAGTGTCCGGTAACAGACCAAACCGAATGGCAGTGGCTTCTCCAGCGAATGTGATATCTGTAAACGCAAGGAGCTCCCAGGAGAGAATTTCAATCAGGGGGGTCCCGTTCTAGTCCTGGTGTTGCCTTTTTTTCAGGCTGTGTGGCTTGGGCCGAATGACTTACCCTTTCACACACACACACACACACACACACACACACACACACACTCACCCTGGTAAACAGGAGGGCTGTCCTTGCCTCTCCCTAAGAGACCCTCCCCTAGTTCTAATGTGTGACAAAGCCGAGGCCTAAGGTTTTGTCTGCAAAGAGCCACCACAAACGTGACCTTCCTTCTCGAATGTGGACCACAGCTTTTCCGTGACTCTTAAATACCAACTTGCAGACTCCTCTTCCTCTCAGATAGGCTGGCGTTTCCCAACTGAGACCCACGCTGGCGAGTTCCCAGATCGGGAAGCGAGGAGCAGGCGTGGGGAGAATTTTAAATGAAATGTGGTCATTCAACCTGAGGGTCCCGGCTTCTCTTTTTTTTTAATGTGATTTCTCAAATATTCTACCTTATGCTGGAGCTTAATAGCAATCACAGTGATTTAATAATAACTGAGCACTCGTTCTGACCTATGGCTTTGCGCGCATTTTCTCATTGAATCTTCCAAACAACCCTAAAAGGTGGGTGGTATTATTATCCCTGCTTCCCACAGGGAGGGACTGAGGTTCAGGACTGTGTGCCTGATGTGGGCGGGCTAACTCAGTGGTTAGGTGGGGCAGCTGGAATTTGAACCTGAGTCTTATTCCAGAGCTTACACCACTCGTTTTCGTCTTAGTTTTACTATGGAGAGCTTCCCGGCCAACAGCCCGCCCCCTCCCCCAGTCCTCCCCTGGCCTGCCCATCCTTCCAGCCGCTTCCCTCCCAACTGCAGCTCCTCTTATCGCTCATTGTTTATTGTACCATCTAAACAATAGCTAATGAGTCTGTATTACATGGTGGGGAGAGCCAGGGCTGGTTTTATTCCCTGAAACAGAGATGAGGTTGTGACACAGGAAGGTTAAGTGGCTTTGGTGAGGTCACAGAGCCAGCCTGCAGTCAGTTCTGGGACCCCACTCGGGTTCTTGGGTTGACCCCAAGGCCCTTTGACATCAGAGTTTAATTAAGAGAGTTATTCTCATTTTCCCCCCAATCTCTGATTTTCCAATTTATTGCTGCTTGATGGTGGTGGACGGGGAGCCCCAGGCATCTTTCTTCCCCGGGTGCTTTTAAAGGGCTCCACTTATCAGAGAAACCACTTGCCTTCCAGTTAAGCCTTAGGAGCCGGTTTCTGTGTCAGAGTCTGTTGCCTGTTCTCAAAGAAAAACAACCACAAACTCAGACAGGTTGTTAATCGAGGAGTTTCTCTCTCTCTCTCCTTTTTTTTAATCTTACACTTAAACCGGTAAATTAACATCTGTGAGTCATCAGCTTGTTCTGGATTAGCCGTTAGTGGTCTGACTGTTTTTGTATTTACCTCTAATAAAGCGTACTTTAGCTGGAAACTCAAGAGATCCTTCGGTTTGTCGAAGTTCAACATTCAGGAAATTGACGACTTATTCTCGCACACTTCTGGAGAGGGGAGTCTGTCTGCTGTGTTTGAAATTAGGTGAATTTTCATATTTCTTTTAGTTCAATTTGCGGTGGAGTTGAAGGAGGACTATAACTGACAGCGTTTATGTTTTTTTTCTTTTTACATACTTCATCTCTTTTGAGAGAATTCATGTAAAAAAGTGACTTTTTTTGTGTGTACAATAATGTCTAGTTCCACACCCTTGTCCCTCAACTCCTGCAGCCTTTTTTTTTCTTACTGGCATGATGTTCCTGGCTTAAACAGCTGCAGCACTTGCTGGATGTAATTCCCTAAGTCTAAGGAATGTTTAAAAATATACTTCTGTTTTCTCCCAAACGAGGGAGCAACAGAATGCCAGAGGACAAGCACAAGCTACTAGTAAAAAGTATGTCCTCTGCTGATTTGTCTTGAATGCCTTAGCAATCAGATATAATCTAGGAACAATTAGCCAAGCGGAAGGCAAGGTTCAGCCGATTTTGTTTTGCTGGTGGGGAAGCTGAGGCACAAATGACCAGAGTGACATGGGGACTGGGGAACAGACGCTCCCCCCTGCCCTATGGGAGATGGGGCAGACCTGGGTGCGGAGTCACTGCCGTTTTTCAAGTTCATCTTCACAGCCATAGCAGACCAAACTCACTTGATCTTTAAATTAGAGAGAGTTGGTGGCAAGCTGACGCCCACATGACCAGGAAGTTGATAATTCATCATTCAACACATATTTATGGAGCATCTGCAGTGTGTCAGGCACTGGGCCAGGCATTGTCTTTAAGGACATGGCAAGACAGAAATGGCATCTGAAGTTCATAAGGAACATTTAGGAAAATCTACTTGTGTCCTAAAGAGAATAAAATTTTCGCCCAGCTGATGTGGCTCAGTAATTGAGCCTGGACTTATGAACCAGGGGGGTCATGGTTCCATTCCCAGTCAGGGCACACGCCTGAGGTAAGGGCTCAATCCCCAGTAGGGGGCGTGCAGGAGGCAACCGGTCAATGATTCTCTCTCATCATTGATGTTTCTCTCTCTCTCTCCCTCTCCCTTCCTCTCTGAAATCAATAAAAATATATTTTTTAAAAAAGAAGAAAATGTTCATTCATCAAATTTGATTAGGTTAATCATATTGATACTTGCAATATTTTAACTTGTCCGTACTAGTGCTCCTTGTCCCAAGTGAAGTTTCAACCAGAGGGTTCGATGCATAACTTCTGATAACACCGATATGATATTTATGATCAGCTCCCATAGAGATAACTTTCTGGGGGGTCTGTGGGGGCTCCTGGCCATCTCCCCAACCCCATTCCTTGACTGGGATCCTCAAACATTTCGAGTTTCTGTGCTTCCGGCCTGGCTAGGTTAGAAAAGGGTGAGGACACGTTGAGTTGAAGATCTGAAGGACTAAACCTCCCCGCTGCTGGAGTGGAAAGTGTTTACAGTTTAACCAGGGAGGACTCTTAGCAAAGAGGGGGGTTGGGGGGTATTAGCAGCGGTGTTTAGGCTAGCCTGGAGAAGAAAGCTAAGGACCCCACTGGGGAAGAGAGAAAGGACGTGTTCTGAGGAAGCTGCTTTTGAAAAAAGCCAAGTACTCATACTAGAATTAAAACAAAACCCAACATTTTCTTAAGAGAACATCAATGAGAGAAAATTCCTCCAAGCAACACTTGATTTGCTCAGTTCTTCTGCTAATGTATTCACAGTGGGTACGGCAGGGCTGGTTTCCGATCCTTTTCTTTGGGGCTCATCTGGATGTGTGAATGCACAATTCATCCATCAGCTGTTTCCCCGGCTTTTCCCAGGATCAGAACTGCCTGTTCTTGTCATCTGGGGGCCAGCATTGTTTTCCTGTACCTTTTGGAAACACAGCTGGATGACAACAATCCTTCACAAATGAGGATTATTCCTTACAAATATTTTCCCCCTGGTTTACTGAAGGAGGGGCAAGATCTGCAGTGTGAACCGGAAGTTCAAGATTTATTTTCTATTCCTAGTTCCTTCCCTCATTTGCTGTGGGAAGCCTGCGAGTTAGAAGGCTGCAAGGAGACGAACCTGGGGTTAGAGGAAAGCAAGCAGGTGTGTTAAAACTTATGAGAGGCAGACCTTACAGCGACAGGGAAAGTTGTGGGAGTTCAACGTATGCTTAGAAATCGGGCAACAGCACTTAGTAAAAATAGCTTTCTCCGAGGTTGCTTAGAAAAGTTTATATTTCATCTTTTAGTGACTGAAAGAGAGATCTGAATGTCTGGCTCTAGCTGTCTCTATATAGGAGTAGATGTACATACCTCTATATCTTCTGGTTGCTAAGACCAACCATCTCCATTTATGATAAGCAATGTACCAGGGGCAAATCATTAATTATTCGGGATCACGTTGGGGTGTCCGAAGTGTCTGGCGTTCCCAAGTGGATGATGTCACGGGTGATGGCTCCAGAAATTCACAGCCACAGAGACACCCGGTCGCCTCTTTGGTGGTGGTGGTGGTAGAGTGGGGTTGTCAGTTTCATCTCCCAGAGGAGAGCCTGTGAAAGGGACAATGGGGACATAGTTAGGGGCAGAACAGTAACTTCCCCTTCGGTGTCAGCACTGCTCTGAGTGAAATGAAGCTTATGGAAGCCCAGGACTGATTCTAGTTTGGGGGCCCTGTTCTGGACTCTCCCAATAAAACAGCAGCATGTGAGCCTCTGTTTTGGGGTGCCCAGTAGGCTGCCTTGGGCTTGAGGCTAATCCAGGGCAGGTCGGTCTTTTCTTGATTGCACGGGTGGGTTCCGAAAAAACCTACAAACAGTCCTGCTCCCTGGCTCACTAAGCAGAGGGAGCCCACTATTCCTACAGCCCTTGTGGGGACACCCGCTCGCGAGGCTCCTGCGCCTGCTCACACGCACGCCCTCCACCCGCATGCCTCACGTCCTGTGTGTCAGTCTTTGTGAATGAATGATGTACACGCACTTCCAAAACTATGCTGCCACCAGGAGGGGGCCGGAGCGGGTGACCAAGCCCTCAAGAATGCGTGGAGAATCAGGGGGACTTTCCCGAAGGTCGGGGAGACTCTGCACGCAAGGCTCCTGCGCCTGCTCACACGCACGCCCTCCACCCGCATGCCTCACGTCCTGTGTGTCAGTCTTTGTGAATGAATGATGTACACGCACTTCCAAAACTATGCTGCCACCAGGAGGGGGCCGGAGCGGGTGACCAAGCCCTCAAGAATGCGTGGAGAATCAGGGGGACTTTCCCGAAGGTCGGGGAGACTCTGCACGCAGCCTGCTCCCCGCAGCCCCGG